TCTCTCTCTCTCTCTCTCTCTCTCTCTCTCTCTCTCTCTCTCTCTCTCTCTCTCTCACACACACACACACACACACACACACACACACACACACACACACACACACACACACACACGCACACTACGTTTTTTAAACTTAACAGGTCCCCACCAGTCAAACCTCCACGATTTTGGTTAAAAAAACGCCGAAATTGCGGCCAGGAATATCAACGTTAAATGCCCAAAGGAGTAAATTCATTCTGTCTCCATGACAAGAACACCCAAACATTTCTTCCAAGGCTGAGCGGGTCCAGAGACCTTCAGCTTTCTACCGAGTTTATGGAATTCCTTCTGTAGACATAAGCAGAGGCATGGCACAAAACAGAATGGAAGGGGCAGAAAAAGGGGGGCAAGAGGATAGGACGGTTCACAAATAGAAAGAAACTGTCAATTATGGACTTCCTTCTGTAGACATAAGCAGAGGCACGACACAAAACAGAATGGAAGGGGCAGAAAAAAGGGGGGCAAGGGGGCTAGGGCGGTTCACAAATAGAAAGAAACTATCGACATCATCTGCACCCCCTCAATAGGAATGATTTGACCATTCMWCAGGWWWTGARYTCAWWWCCTGWKGAATGGTCAAATCATTCCTATTGAGGGGGTGCAGATGATGTCGATAGTTTCTTTCTATTTGTGAACCGCCCTAGCCCCCTTGCCCCCCTTTTTTCTGCCCCTTCCCAGTCTCACTATTCCAGGCACTACAGCTTAAATGGATAATCAAACTGCTCTTTAACAGAGAACTCCCATGGCAAAACATGGCCCTACACCAGATCCGCAATTTAGTCCCTTTCGAAGTGGACCCGAATATAGAAGGCTACCACTGGATACTCAACCCTGCATGGAACCCAACACGAAAGGATAGAAGAAGACAAATGGAAGGAGAAGATCCACCCAGTAACCACTGGGCTTCCTTGATAAAACACTGGAGAGACTGTTTCCCACAGAAAATAGAGAGGAAGTCTTGAGACAAGCTTTATTCGGAAACCCCCTCTTAAAAGACAAAATCACAAACCCTGGACTCTGAATTCGAAAGGTAAACATTGGAGAAAGTGGATGGGGAATGGGGTTTGGAAGGTGGAACACTTATGGAACAACGACGAGAACAGATGGTCCATGGCTCAAGAATTGAGAACCAAACTCAAAGGAGTCCACAACTTAAAAGATCATTTAGAAAGGCTGTTAGAAAGTGTCCCCTTGAGATAAGAACAGCTCTTAAAATCCAAGTCCAAATGGAGAGCAAGGGATTGGGCTACAAAAAAGGGACCAAACCCCCCACTCGTAGGATATAAGCTGATTAAAGTACTTGACACAGAAGAAGGGAAGGCAAAGTTTGAATCCTTTGAGCTAATGGATACACACAAAACCTGGGTAAAACCTGGAAAGACAATAGAACAAAGGTCATCAATCGAACTCAAAGACCTAAGAAAACTCCGAATCTGCTCACCCAAAACTAACCGCAAAAAGACCCTTAACTACGAACAGGGACAAGGGGAAATCTGGATCTTCAGGCCAGACCAGGACATTAAAGACCTGGAAATGGACCCAGCAGAATGGGATTGGTACATCCCGGGTAGCGTAGGAAGAGCTAAAAAGCTCACACCAATTTACGACTACGAAGCCAAGGTAGGCTATAGACTAAGAAACAACACAAAGGACCCTCAACAGATAATAACAGATAGATGGAAGAAGAATTTAGGAGAAAATGCAGGATGGACAGGCAGAATCCCATGGAGCAAGTATACTACTATAAGACCAGCAAGGATCAGTAGCTTACAATGGCTCATACTATATTGGGCAGTACCGTTCAACCAATGGTTGAGCAAAAAAAGAAAACAAGAGGATCCCCAACAACAATCTGCGTGGTGCAAAATGTGCAACGAAGGCCTGGAAGAGTCATTGACGCACTGCCTCATTCTCTGTCAGCGTGCACAAGAACTATGGGGCAGAACAAATGCACTCTGGGCCAAATTAACAGGTCACACCTTTCCCTCCAACAAGGTTTACCTATTGGCGGGGAGGATTGTAGACAACGACTTGGAAGAACAGGAAACATCTTTAGCGGACCTGTGGAGGAGAGCGACCCTCTGGGTAATATGGAAAGCGAGATGCAAAGGTACGTTAGACAATCAATTTCCCAGGCTGGAGGAGAGGTGGTTGGAAGTTGAGTCCATAATACAAACAGAGATAAGGGCTCGGTGGAGTAGAAAACAAAAAGAACAACAGAAAATACTGCAACCAGAGAAGCGAGAGATGAGTCAGAAAAAAATCGAGAAAATCTGGCTTAACGGAAATGGTATTGCAAAAATAGAGAAGGGTCGTCTACATTTCAAAAACTGGGATTAACAAAAAATAAAGAGAAGGGAGGAAACGGAAAGGTACCATTCAGCCCAAAAAGCGGGACTAAACGGAACAGAAACGAGCATAGACCTCCAATCCGTGCACCCCTCTCCTCCATATCCCCTCCCCAGATAACTTCTTACCACCTCTTCCCCCGACTAATACCTCTAACCTGCGGCAAGGGACCGATAAGGATGGCGTCACTACGAGTCACCGGCAAGAGAAGAGACGGTAGAATCACTGACGGTCATACTAACTGCCGAGAGAAGAAGTGCGCACAGATGAAGACTCCGTTACAAGTCGAAGCTCTTGGCAGATGGCAGGGACAGAAGTACTCGGCCAGCAGAAGGTGGAGTTAAGCAAGACAAAGCCAGAGGGAGACCCATCAGTTTGAGGAGTGCGGAAGAGGAAAAAAGGAAAAGGACACCGGCAGTGCGAACCGAGAGGAAAGAGTAAAGCAGTACAAGCCGACAGCGAATCCTCCAGGAGACTGGACGACAAAGCAGAAATCCTCGCCCCATGGGGAAACGTTAAACTCTGGGGACGGAACAATCCAGAGACAGAGCAGGTGTCACTAGCTAAATTCTAGCAGATCTGGTCGGTAGCTGACAAAGTGGCATGACAGATTGGGCACGTTCTATGATGGAAGATCGGCATAATCTGGTCAAGTTGGTATCCCAGCAGAACTCCCAGGTACCTGAGGAACCAGCCCCAGTCAGAGCCTAGAAGAGTACCCAAGACTCATACGTGACAGACAGCAGACGAGGTTTCACAGGGCACACATGGAAGAGGATTAATCTTCCTCAGGGTTTAGGGCTTAGGGCTGAGGGTTTAGGCACGAACAAGACAGCAGAGTGCAGAATGCTAAGGATTTTACGAGGCTTATTTGAGGGGTTAGAGGATTAGGACTTAGACAGCATCGGCAGCTGCGGTAGCTTCTCAGACCTTTCTGGTCGTGCATGTTTTATCTGACAGGTTCTTACAGTAGTCCTGAGAGGAAAGGTGCAAGCAGGGCAAGCTGACAGTCAATCCTCCACGCTGCTGGAGCAATCAATGTTGATCAGGGTTCCTTCGGCCAGACGGAAGGAAGCGTGTGGGTGTCCTTTATTGTAATATTTTCCTGACTTGCCGGTGGAATAGGAACCGGACTGATGCTCCCCAGAATGGAAATGGAGCCAGGGCCTTAAGGACCTGTTTTATTTTTAAAAAAAATTAAAAAAAATGAACTCATTACCTGTTTATCAACAGCTATATGTGCGTGCTATTTCAAGATTTGATCACGACCTATTTAACGCTATGTGTGTACTATTCAAGAATTGATCATGACCTTTTCATGAGTGGCTACATTGTAACATTCAGGATTTGAGCTCATGACCTGTTTGCCAATATACATGTGCGGATTATTCAGGAAATGAACTGATGACACGACCCATTATGCAAACAAGGTACGCCGTTAACCTTTGCAGATCCATCATCCATTGATTGATGATGCTCAGTCTACGACTGATTGCTTGCGTCGGGTTTCATGTATATAAAGTATTATCAACATGTATATGTGCATGACATTCAGGATTTGACTTTGTGACCTGTTTACCAATTGCTACATGTGCGTACTATTCAGGAGGCGAACTCATGACCTGCATATCACCATGCTACATGTGTGTACACCTCAGGACTCGAACTCATGACCTGCCAATCCACAGCGAACTCAACAGCTGTTTATCAACAGCTACAGGCCTTTTCGTCCAGGAGCTGAACACTCCAGTTTTCACCCAGTACCAGGTACTGCTATTAGACATCTGTTTCTCACTTCAACAGATTATTAGATTACACTACAAGTCCTTCGGGATATCCATTAAAATTGGAACGAGTACAGAGAAGATTAGCATGGCCCCTGCGCAAGGATGACACAAAAAGCGATAAATGGTCCGAATTTGGGCCGCCCAGTTGCCTGGCTATCGCCCGGTGGGGATACCGGGTGGCCCGGGCGGTTTGGTCCCCCGGTTGACCACCGGGCGGGCGCAGCACATTTGTGAGCGGGGGGTCGGGAGGACCTGGGTGGGTCCAGGTGGCCTCCCGATGCCCGCCGCATGTCTCCAAACTGAACAGGTAGGTTTTAAAAAAAAATTGAGGGGAGAACAGGGCCCCTTTCGCACCTGATGTTACCAGCTGTCGATCATCGAAGATCGACAGCCGTTATCAGCCGCTAAAGGGTCCCTGTTCAACGTCGGGTGGCACAGTGAGACTGGGTGTGAATACCAGCCGCGTTCGATTTCAAACGCCGGGAGGGGCTGGCATTCACGTGCAGCCTCCC